GGTCGATGCCCGCCCCGAGGTCATCGACCAGCACCGTCGCGCTGATCATGTCCCAGCCAACCCGCCTCAACGTAAGCCATAGTGCCGAAAGCGGGCCGCGGGCGCTGGCCCGCGTGACTGCGGAGGTGGTTGCGTCGAACTTCTCTTTCAGCGCCATCCACGCCTTCTGCAAATGAGCGGTCGACCCTCTTGCCGCCCAGACCCACGACGCATGCTGCATCAGGATGCTGCAGGTCGCGTGGAAGATGGGGTCGAAATTGCGGTGCCTCTGCACGGCCAAGTACAACGTGAGGGAGCCTGCACCGCTGAGACCACAGAAACTGCCAGCCATGTTGCGCAACTGCTTCAGCTCACCGTTATTGTAGCCACTGACCGTGGCCCCGTGACTCACGGCGGGCATCGCTCCTGTCGTCCAGAGCCGCGCGGCGCGCTCGCGGCCAGCTCCCTTCCGAAGCGCTGACACCCGAGGCTTCCTTGCATGCATCTTCTTGAGCCTGTCCTTGTGGGCGCCTCGCACCGCCGCGTTGGCCGCCATGTCGTGGCCCATGTACCGCATGCGGCGCTGACCCTCGATCCTCAGCATCCTGGCGTACGCCTTGAAGTGGTACTCCGCCTGGCGTGTGACCGCCAGGTGCCCTCACTTGTTCAGCTGCAGCACCAGACCCAATGGCTTCACCTCCTCGCAGAACACCTTGGTAGCCGTGGCCATGGCACGTGATCCGCGCGCGTCAGAGCCCGTCCAGGAAAGCGCAACATCATCGACAAGGCCGCGAGGCCGAACCTCACGAGCGACGGACGTGGTCAGCTTGATGCTGCGCGTGGGCAGCACCATCAACTGCGTGGTCGCGTGAGTGCAGCCAGTCAGGATACCCTGGCAGATGACCCTGGCCTCGGAGAGCGAGCTGCACGCGTAGACCGCGCGCGCCTGCTCGTACATCTTAACCAGCATGTAGGCAAGCCTCAACGGATACCCATTGGCCCTGCACTCTTCGAGTATCGCCTGGTGCCGCACCAGCGCGTAACACTTGAGCATATCCAGAAGCACAATCACCGCATGTTGGCCCGAAAGCTGGGCCGCCTCCTTCTCGAGTGCCAGGTCGAACGCTGCATCTGTCGACGAGCGGCCGCCGGTGTGCCCCCAGAACTCCTCTGACGCGTGGTCGGCCTCCCATTGTGCTGAGACTGGGCGCCGTGCCCGCCCCCAGACCCTCGCCAGGGTGTTGAGGAGGGCGATGGGGCGCTCGCCCCCCCCTGGCTTGGGGGGGCGAACAAGCTTTGTGTTGAGCCGCGATTGTGGCCAAACTAAAAGCTGCTCGCAGCGGGAGAAAACGCGGGCCCTCGCCTCCAGGGCGGCGTCTGACAAGAAATCAAGAGCCCGCGGCGCGATCTTGATCTGCCCAGCGCCTGCGCGCCAGCTGAAAGCACGAATCGCTCGACCGACATCAGTGCCACTCAGCGGCGGCAGCTGGTCCCAGTTGGCGGCGTCACTCTGCAACTGGATCGGGCCGTCCTCGTGCATCTGCCAGAACTCGTTCCAGTCGGACAACTTGCGGCCAGCCAGCTGGTAAGCGCGCTGAACCCCTGCGCCATAGTCGATCACCTCCTGGAGCGCCTGTGGCTTGGAAAACCTGTGGGCGCGGCTGGCCCCTCCGTCAAAGGATGCCTCGGCCCACGCCTGCCACTTGGACGTCGCATGCCTCTCATGGGCCCGCTGCGTGGCCTCTGCCTTGGACTGGATGCGATCGATCTGCTGGTCGAACGTGTTCATCTGCAGCTTGAGTGCCTCTATGCCCTGGCAGACGAAGTCGGTCGCGGCGCTGTCCAGGCACTGCCATGTGTCCTGATGTGCCGCCATCCGCTTCAGAAAATTCTGGAACTCGAGAATGCGTCTGGCCGTCTGGACACACAACTCGCTGCAGAACTGCCCTCCACGAGGTCGCCGCGCACGGGTATCCAGCCCACCTCGTTGAGGCCCAGCTTCGCCGCAAACCTGGGGCCCCAGCTTCCCCGCGACCTCCACCGAGACGGTCGCGGCCCTGGTGGGCCTGCCTCTCGTGCGCGGCACCTCGGGAGGCGGTCTCGCTCCAGGCGGTGCTGCCGTCCGCTCACCATCACTGAGTTCCTGCGAGCCGACCGCTGGCGGGGCGGACAACTTCGAGATGAAAGCCACCAGTGCCGTACGCACACGCCGAAAGTGCCGAGCCCATCTGGCAGCAGTGAGCCACGCTGCCACGTCAGGGGCCTTCCGCTTCCAAGGCTGCCGCTCGTCGGGCTCGAACTTGGCCCACTTGAAAGATGGCTCCGTCGGCTGTGACAGGAACTTGGCGGCCTGGGGTCCGACGACGCCGTGTCGCCCCTGCAGCTCGAACTCCACTCCCAGCAGCAGCTGGTCCCACACCTCGGCCATGTCCTGTGCAGACTTGGCTTGCGCGACCTGCTCGACGAACGGGTCCCAGTCAGGCGGCGGCCTGGCACGCCCGACCTTGGGCTCCTTGATGAAACCCTTGGCCTGCACGAGCTGCCGAATCCACATGACCTGGGGCGTTGCGCATAGCCGCATCGTGACGGGCAGGTGCGGCCAGGTGTTTGCCTCCTCCACGACCGCGGTGCTCAGCCTGGGCACCAGCGGGGCTGCCGCGAAGAAGAAGTCGATGGCGCGGCCAGGAAGCGCCAGCGCGCACGTGGGCGTCGAGGGCACCACCGCGATACCGTTGACAGAATGCAGCCACGCCAGAGTGCCCAACTGCTTCAGCTCCATGTTGAAGTCGCCGCCCACAGCCCAAGGCATCTGCATCGCATCGAGTACCTTGAGATATTGATAGAGCCTGAACAGGATGGCCAAATTCTCGTGCGACATCTGCTCGTCCACCCGCAGATACACGGAGATCATGACGAAGTCGCGCTTGCCGCCGCAGTTGACGTGGGCAGCGACCATCCTACCAGCGCAGGGGGCGCCGTGATGAGCACACGCCGAGGTACCAGGACGGCGACTCCGCCTTGGCTGCCCGTGCCCAGCCCAGGGAGCGCGGACTCCCAGACCCCGCGGAAGCCCTCGGCCAGGGCTTCCTGCTGGGCCTTGGCCAGGCCCGCGGGCAGAGCGTGGTGCTCCTGCACGGCAACTCACATGCTGGAGCACGTCGCCAAGTAGTCGACGAGCGGGCCACCTGACGAGACGTTGATGGTGGTGATGCCAATGGGCTTCGCCATGGTGCTGACGATGGAGCACACAACACAAAACAACCTCATGCACAGGGCGAGACACCTATTCTGCCGCCTTGCGCCTCTTGCACCCGTGCTTGGTCAGAATTTCCTCGATCTTCCGCTTGTCGCCTCCCGCGTTGGCCATCTCCTCGATGAGCTCCTCGCTGAGGGCAGCGTCCTCGTCCTGGTCCATGGGCACAGGCACCTCCGCCGCACCTTCAGCCCGCTGCCGCTCGGCCTCGGACGCGGCGGCGGCCTCGCGCTCCTCCGGCTGCTTGGCGCGCGCCTCCTCCGCCACATGCTTGAGCCTCTCGAGGTCCTCCTTGAGCCTCTCCGCCAGGCTGTGCTCGGCACCGAGGACGCCCAGCACCTCGCCCAGGCCTGACAGGGTCTGGCCCAGCCCCTTGATCGGCTCATCGACGGGCACCTTCCCATGCTCGACCAACGGGGGCATTGGGGCCTCGCCCTGCAACTGCCGCTGCTGCTCCTGCAGCTCCTCCATTTGCACGTCCAGCGCTGCGCACTGGGCCTGCGCCACCTTCTCCTGCTCCTGCAGGGCTGCAAGCTTCTCGCGGATGCCTGCGAGACGCCGCTTCTGGTCGTCCTGCAGCTTCTGATGCCTGGAGATCTGGGCTCCAAGGTCACGTAGCCTATGGCCCAGCGGGCGCGCAGCTGCCAACTTGGCCTTGAGCTCGCTCTGCTGATTTGGTGTAGGCCTCCTTCGCGCGCACGAGGTGAATGTCCTCGCTGCCGCTGACCGTCTTGAGCAGCTCCGCCAAGACCTGCAGCCGCTGCTTGTCCCGCTCGCTGCCGCTGGGTGCCTCCACCTCGGCCGAGGCGAGGCCCAGGCCGTCGAGACACTTGAGCTTCGCCTGGGTCGAGGCCAGCTCCTGCTTGAGCTTCTGCACCTGCACAGAGTCTGCCCAGGCTGAGAAAGACCGCCCTGGCTTGCGAAGCGATGGCGACGGAGGGGCACGGTACGCCTTGAAGCAGAGCCCTTTGCCCAGCTTGCACTTGGCGCGCGACGTCGCGTCGGCGTAGTTGAAACAGGGGAGGCCGTTGGGCCCGACGCAGCTCTTGCAGTACTACTGGCGCGTGCTTTGCTCCGAGCGGTAGTGCTGCGGGGCCATCCTGTCAACTGGCCACGCGGGTCTCGCCTGAGGATGTCCGCCGCAGCGGCAACGGCGGGGCTGCAGGACTGGAAGTGGGCGCCCAACTCCCACGGTGAAGGCGAAAGGAGGTCGTGAACTGGCCGCGGACTAGCGGTATCCGTGTGGTCCCCAGGGGCACCAATCATCTTGAGCCAAAATGGCTACGGACTGGAGGAGGAGGAGGAGGAGGAGGAGGAGGAGGAGGAGGAGGAGGACGAGGAGGAGGAGGAGGAGGAGGAGGAGGAGAGGAGGAGAGGGAGGAGAGGAGGGAGGGAGGGAGGGAGGGAGGGAGGGGAGGGGAGGGGATGGGGGGGGGGGAGGGAGGGAGGGAGGGAGGGAGGGAGGGAGGGGGGGGGGAGGGAGGGAGGGAGGGGAGGGAGAGGAAGGCAGGCAGGCAGGCAGGCAGGCAGGCAGGCAGGCAGGCAGGCAGGCAGGCAGGGAGGGAGGGAGGGAGGGAGGGAGGAGGAGGAGGAGGAGGAGGAGGAGGAGGAGGAGGAGGAGGGGGAGTGCCCTGTCGCGTGAGGCCGCTCTCCCTCGTCGCCCTTCCGGTGCCGCTCGGCCACGGCTCCCTTCGTGGGAGTGCGGGCCCTGGGCCGCTGCGCCCCCTCGGGGCCCCCTCGCCGCCGCCCCCGCCGCCGCCCGCCGCAGGAGTGCGGGCGGCTGGAGCCGCGCCTGAAGCAGCTGGTCCTGCTGGTGAAGCGGTGGGCGAAGGACGCTCGCTGTCCGTCGCGGGGAGGAGGCGCTGTCGGTGCCGCTACCCGCTGCCTCGTTTTTTTGGCTCGTCTTGCTCTCCGGGGGGGCCCTCCGTCTCCATGGCTGGACTCGTTCCGAGGTGCCGGTCAGACCGCGCCCCGGAGAGGCTCCCCGGTCCGTGGCCGCTGCGAGGTCTCGCGGGCTGCCCGCGGGGCGCAGGCGATGGGGGCCGGCGCTGACGAGGGGCGGTCGGTCCCGTCCGATCCTCTCTTGGCCAGCACGGGTCTGGGAGCCACGTGTCGGCGGAGAGCGAGGGGGGGAGGCGAGAAGGAGAAGGCCTTTTCAGAAGGCGGCGGGGCTTCCCAGAAGCCCTCGCGCCTTCTGAGGAGTCTTCTGCGTCTTCGGGGAGGGCGCAAGAGAAACTGTCTCCAACAGGCTGGGGGACTTCCTAGCCTCCTGAGAAGGCCTTCTCCTTCGCACTTCTCCCCGGGCTCGCCGCCGGACGTGGGGCCGGCCCACCCCCCCCGCCTCTCCGCTCTCCGCTGGCCAGGTGTGGCAGCTACTTCGTGGCCGGCCCAGGTTCGCGACATGACCTTGGCCGACCGCGGGTCCGCGCTGGCCTGGGTCCGCGTGTCTCCGAGGTTGGGGCCTGGAGGGGCAGGCCCTGCACTGACACTTGCACAGGAAAGCGGATCCTGGTGTACAGCCGGGCAGCCTAAGAAGGAGCTTTCATCTTTCAAAAGGGGCTCGGGCGTTCCTGAGGTTTTGCATGCGTTCCGCTTTCTTTTGGCGGCGAGCCCGCCCCCCCAGTGCCCCTTCGGACTTCATGAGCTTCTTTGGAAGAAAGGGGCCTCGTTCCTTGTTTGTCTTTCCTTGGGTCAGCGGCCCGACTGTATACGGGATTCTGGTGTATACATTTTTTGTTACCTCCCCGGGAAAACGGAAACAAGCAAGTATGCACCGCACCACCCCGACGTCTTCCCCGACCCCGAGAAGATGTCCTGGGATTGACAGACAGCCCGCCACTGGTGATGTATCATGTTCCGCTTTCCGAAAAGGGGGGCTGGGCGAGGGAGGGGGTCGGGCTTCTGAGAAGGCGGGGCGATCGTTACTCTGGAGGGAAAAACACACAGACACAATGACTCGTCGATTTCCCCAGAAAACATGGGGAAATGTGGGAGGTGGGGGGGAAGCCAAAAACCCAGAACACATTGGAGACCATGGGGAATCTGGTGATTTGTGTGTGCATGTGTGTGTGTGTGCGTGTGTGTGTGTGTGTGTGCGTGTGTGTGTGTGTGTGTGTGTGTGTGTGCGTGCGTGCGTGCGTGTGTGTGTGTGTGTGTGTGCGTGTGTGTGTGTGTGCGTGTGTGTGTGTGTGTGTGTGTCGCATGGGCCCCTTCGGTCACAGGGGGGGGGGCCTTCTCAGAAGGCAGCCCGCCTCCCTCGCCCTGCCCCCCCCCCTTCCGCGCGCTGCCGGACCGGGGCAGTACAGGCCTCGGAAAAAAAAATAGCGAACACTCATTCGGGGGTGGACAGAACCCCCAACAGTGACACGTCGATTAGTGAATTGTCCGTTTTCGGTTCTCGAGAGGGCGCCGCGGCCGTCATTTTCCGGGCTTGCGCCCGCCAGGTTTGGGCCGCAGGTCGTTTTCACTAAACTACGCTTTACTAAAGGGGGGTCTGTCCATCCCCGACTCATGCCACATTCATCTGTAAACGCCTCCCCCTCCCCCCAATGTTCGAAGTTGGCGGTGGGTCTGATGAGTGGCGCCTCGACCGCAGTCTCCCCCTGCGCGTGCCAACTTTGAGTTTGGGGGGCAGGGGGGGTGTTTACTGATTGTTTCCCTCGACTGTATATCCCCCCCGCCCCACGTGTTCAGGCGTGATTTGTGGGTTCTGAAGCGTCAGGGCACTCCAGGGCTCCCAGAGGGGGTCCTCATTCTACAGTGGGGGCGCGCATCAAGAAGCCATATGCTTTTCGTCAGGGTATCCTGGGTTTCTTCGCTCCGCGCGCGGCGCGGCGACTTCCCGCGGCCGTTAAAGGAGCTGCTGCGTTCAGAGTGCTCCAGGTTTTCCCTCCGGTGCACTTCGCGCGTGGGTGTTCAGGGTTGGGTTTCTTGCGACCGCGCCCGCACTGTAGGTCAGAGGGGGCGAAGGTACCCATACCTCGTTTTCGCCTTTTTGGACCTCCTCGGAGGCCCTCGTCGCCACCGGTGGATTTGCCTTGAAATTCTGGTCGGGACGCACCCCGGGAAAGGTCTGGGGAGTAGCGGTATCGGTACCTTTATGTTTCCTCACCAGGGCTCCGAGATGGGATCCGAGTAGATGGGGTCGGATGAAGCGATGCGTCTCGATGTGGGAACCCAATTCTCTCCACGCCGACGTCACCCAAGTCGGGTTCCCCTCCCAGCCTGTATCCTACCTACGTGCTTGGCCGAAGGCTCATTGCGCATCGAGGAGGGGCCCTTCCGAGCAGCCGAGCCTCGACGAGCTTCATATCAGCGGATCTCCTGTGCCCGAACGTACATACTCCTCCCTCCTCATCCCTCCTCTCTCCTATCTCCCTCCTCTTGGCTTATCCCGCCTCTTGCCGCCTCCTTCTCCTCAACAGCCTGCTCTCTCCTTCTGCGACTCCTGTCAGATCCCTGCTTCTGCTGCTCCTCCTCGTGCTTCTCCTTGCCCCCCCACCTCGTCGTCCTCCCTCCCCCCCTCCTCCTTGTCATCCTTTGACTCCTTCCTGCCAGCCGCTTCCAGGATCGCGGGGTGTGCCACGCTGCGAAGGGTCACCTCTCGCCGTACGCGCCGCCCCCAGGGGAGAGGGGAGAGGGGAAGCGGCAAGCCAGGCGCGTCCGCGCGACTACCCGAGTCGGCAAGCACATGAATCGTCTACTTGGTGGAATGTTGCGTGCTCGTGGGAAAAACTGACCAAGTCGCATAGGAGGCGGATACAAACAATCCAGGACATGGTCAGGGGAGAGAGCAGAGCAGGACTCACACTGAACACTGGTGAATGGGGCGAGGGGGGAGGGGAGGGCATGCAGGCAACGATGCAAGCACTGGGGGGAGGAATGGCACGGAGGAAGGCTGGGGCGGGGAGGCAACCACGGAGAGAGGCAGGGAGGCAGGCAGAAGGCGGGGGCCGAGTCGGGCCGGCGCCGGGCGGAGGGGGAGGGAAACAATCACGTGGTTCCAAGAGGGGCCCCAGGGAAAGGGACTTTTGAGACGGGCGATGCCGACTTTGGAGACAGGCGATGCCAATTCGTACGCTTATCTGGGTACAGGGCTCAAGTCAGCAATGTTGCAGAGTGTGATATGTCCCACCCGTCCAAGTTCAAGGACACATACGCAAATCTGTTCAGACTAGCTGCACGACCAGCTCAAAGGTACTTGTAAAAAGGTGGTGGTGCAAAGTGGGCGTTTCGACAGCATCAATGACACCGCCGTCGCACAGCTCGTGTTTGACTTACGCCACATCAGTATCACCATCACCATCGTGATGGTTTACCGACCATTATACGGTTGGATCGCAAGCATAGGTCGGCAGCACAAGTCTAAAGGGCGTGTTGAACAACAAGCGTTTCAACAATGGAGTACTACGCGTACAACTCCTCGTTCACGACTTCTGTACATAATCGTTACGCCGCTCATTTTTCTGATGTGGAGGTGCACATGATGGGCCCCGATATGATGATCGATATTGCCCGCGATAACAGGTACACGTGCGCGGTGTATAGGAAGGCCGCATTGATGAAGAACAGCGTCAGAGCAGAATCACCTTCGGCATGTGAATGCTTCAATTCTCTGCAGCTGCAAACGCTAAGAACCATATCAATTGAGTTGCACTGGGCGGCGTATGGTTTCTCTTTAAGTTTTCCCGCATCGGGCTTGAATGCCGAGGCCAGGATTTGCTTCGGCAATCCCCTTCAGATAGTCAGCTTTTCGGCAAATGTTTCCATCTATATCTAGATCTAGATCTAGAGAAACAGCACGGCCCAAAGATCCCACGCATTGAACTCGAGGACCTGCCAGTGCGACCAGGAGGGGGTTCTGCGCGTGCCCCGCCGGCTGGCGTGACAGCGCAAGCAGTCAGCATCAAGGCTTCGTTCCTCGCCGCCCCCGTGCGTTCTCGGCCAGACGGGCCAAGAAAAATGTGACGAGTTCTACAGTGCCGTTTGTAATACATGCTCCGCGTGCGGATCATGTATTAAGAATGCAGGAATTCAGTACTAAAAACAACGATGAGTTCATGCATACATTCATTCATCAATTAATCATGTAGTAAAAATCTTGTATGCTTAAACATCCTATGTATTAGAAACTGCCCTGTACCCAGCTCACGTTCTCGAAGGATGCTCTTCCGCCTCAGGTATGCCCGTGCACGCAGGTCCTCTTTCGCCGGCCGGGTGACGCCACTTCAGCGAGTGACGTCAAGGCCTCCCCCCCCCCCCCGGAGTAGATCTTGGCTATTTTTGGCGCCTGTTTCGAGCAGGTGGGGCCCCTCCCCCATGGGACGCACGGCCCCAAACAGTCGCACTAAGCAGACGTCGAAGGTCAGACCCCGCCCCCCCCTTCCGCCCAATGTCGAAACGCCGAATCAAACAAAAAAAACGCTGACGTTGACCCATCCATGCAACGAGCACACGCGGTGACGTGGCAGAGCCTCGACACGCGACCAGGCTGCGAGACATGGCGAGGCCGTCAGTTGTGATGGGGCGGGAGGCCGAGTAGCCGTAGACGCGCTAAGGGTATGTGCGTGGGTCAGCCAAGGGCGACGTAGGAGAACGAATTGTAGGAAGGCGTGGCCCGCGGCCGAACCAGTTGTATGAGCGCGTGGTTCCTGTGTTCCCTGCAGCTCGCCGTGCCGTCTTCGTCGGCTACGAAGCGGTGCTTCGTTTTTCCCCTACCTTTTTGCTCCGCGTGGGCTCGGTGCCACGAATCGGGAGCCACATACGAACCCCCACCCCTGCCCCCCACGATTTCTGA